CTGTGTGATGGATGTCCTCCCCTGGGGTGGGATGGTAGGATGTACAGGCCCCCATTTAAACCAGCTTCAAGCTGAACTGGGCTGGCCTGTCTAAATATCGTAGATACATACATACATACATACATACATACATACATACATACATACATACATACATACATACCTACATACTCAAGCGGTTTCTTGTGGTTATTTTCCAGAAAAGATAACGTATTTTCAACAAAAATATGCATCAATAACAATTATCTCATGTCTAATTGTGGGCAGTTACTTCGTCCAGATTTGGACACCTCTGTTCGATCATTGTCACTTCCATTCAATATATAAGTCGTCCGATTTCGGACGCTATCGTCCGCCCCCGAATCCTTCCGTCCAATTTCGGACGCTTTATCGGATTTTTGACGTTTCTACCCAACGTTACTAACGGTGTTGCCTGTTTTCTGACGCTTTAATCCGATTCGGAACGTTCCAAACAGGCTGGACGTTCTAAGCTAAGAGCACCTACACGTATACTTCGTACTCGGTGCAAAACTGACTGTCTCTTCGTGGGCCAGTTGATTGCCCTTAAAGACTTCAAAACCAATCGTAGAACGTTTCATAATGAGGTCAGAAAGAGATTTACTTTACCCGCTGTCAGCGGTAACCGCTATAAGAACAGCAAAAAGTTTGTGTTAACAAAACATGGCGGAGTTTCATGAGTGTCATGGAACTTTGGTGTTTTTAAGCAATGGTAACCGCAGTGCTCGAAGACGAAGCTCCGCCGCAGAATTCAATAATGGTCTGATATTTAGTAAGAGCCCAATGAGGGACAATGAACGATTTGAAGTACGACTGGACCGTAAAATTGGAAACTGGTCAGGATCTTGGGCTATCGGCGTGACAGCCGGCGATCCTAGCGTTATGGAAATTCCTTCCAGTTCTACGGGCCTAAAAAATGGCTCCTGGGTTATGTCTGGAATGTCTATTCTAAAAGACGGTTCTTCTTTCGTGGAAGAATATGGTCAAGACCTCGACGAGCTCAAAGAAGGAGACAGAATAGGTGTCGAAAGGACAGCCCAAGGAAGTTTACATTTCTTTGTTAATGGAGTTGATTTGGGAGTTGCGGCTGCAAATATTCCTCAAAATGTTTTTGCTGTTGTAGACTTGTACGGAAGATGTGTAGAAATATCAATTTACAAACCTTTCAATCGTGTATCTGGTAAGTTACTTTAGTCGTGTAAAACTTACGAACCACGTTTTTTTTTTTTTTTCATAGGCATATCAAACCAGACAATATATTTTTGTTTATTAATCTGAGATGGTCCTTCAGATATTTACTTGAAATTAAAAGGTATCTTGAAATGAAACCCCTAATATGTGATTTCTTTCCTGTATCTTTTTTATTAATTTCTTTAATTAGAGATTTAAATGGACTCTTGAAAAGTGATCAAATGCTACCACACTATAACTATTTTATATTGCTTTGTCGTTGTGGCAAGATTTTGTGATCGAATGGTTCTTCCTTTTGCAAAGAAAGGAACTTTGTGATAAAGGATAGAAACAGTAATTTTCTTCTATTGATGAGATAATTCATTGGTAATCATATTTTTTACCATAAAAAAAAAAAAGCAACATCAGAATCGTTGGACTATGTAGTATGGGGTTGATATTGGCATCAGCTGGAAAATCAATTAGTATGCAAATGAGCAAATGATTTAGTCAGGTCAACACTTTCCCCTTAATCTTGTAAACCTAGCAAATCAAAAACTAGTTCTAAAAAAACAGTCTCACCTGTATGCAAATTTACCTTTACCTAAAAAGTGTAAATTTAAAAAGCATTTACCAGTTTGCATTATTCTCTCTGAGTTTCTCTATACATAGCTTAAGCTGTTGACAAAAAGAATTTGAGTAACAATCAAGAGCTGCTTTTATTGGGTGATCATTTCCTTTATTCTTCTGACCTTTATGAGGGATTCAGGGGTGATATTGTAAGGAGAAATTAGATGTTGAGTCACTATCAAGAGTTAAAGAGTTTAGCTAACCTGTAGGGAATATATATATCTTATTAACCAAGCGCAAGGGCTGCACTGGGAGAATATCAGCCTGAGGTCTTGACAGTACGGACCGAGCGCAGCTCGGTCCGTACAAAAAAGACCGAGGGCCGATATTCTTCCAGTACGGGCCTGAGCAAGCTTGGTTGATAAGAGATTTATTAGATACAATGAAATATATGAAGTTCATATATTTTGAACTGCGGTATTAGATACGTATGATGCACAATCCTCGCAGTAGATAGCGCTATTTAAGCAATAGCGAATAAATTCTAAATTCTATCCTGGTAACAGGTCAGTGTGAGTTTCATCCTCAACAAAGAATATGGGGTGAATACAAAGTTGCAACATTGTAGACCCACATAGCTAAGCTTATCCTGATTCCTTCAGCAGTGTTTTCCAATTTTTTAGGTTCAGTTAGAGTGTGTCACTGAGTTATGGGCAGGCTCAATTGAGGTTGGTGTTACGAGTCACAATCCAGATGATATCGTTTTGTTACCGACCATGACAAGCATGCCAACAGGGACTTGGATGCTGAGTGGAGCATCAATTATTGTTGATGGCAAGGAAGTCAAAAAAGATTACTCAAGTATCAATTTAGAAACACTTCAGGTACTGAGCCGAAATGCTGTATGGTCCATATGCCAAAAGGGAGGTAGTATACTTGCATTAGATCATGTAGTCAGATTGTCAGGGTGTGTGTAGTCCTGAAAAGGACCATTGTGGGTGGTGATGACTGATGTTTCAACAACCTGAGTGGAAGTCATCTTAAGACTCTAATGATGACTTCTGCTCAGTATGTCAAAACAGTTGCTACTCTTGACCACAGGGCTTGACACAAATGGTAGCCAACTAGCCACAGACTAGTAGAAATTCAGTTTTGGCTAGTGGTTTTCAATTTCCACTAAAGCCAGTTTGTCTAGTGAACAAATGGAAATTGTTGTAACATCCAAGATGTCACTAGCCACTTGGCTAGTAAGTTGAAAAGTTAGTGTCAAGCCCTGGACAATAGTCCTTCAAGACCACCTTGACACTGACAGTCAGACTTCACAATCAAATGTTGCTCCTGAGTTCAAACCAGTTACTGTAACGTTGTATTAATCAACAAGGAAAGAGAAACAACTGGACAAAATCCATGCAAACATTAGCAAAATCACGCAACCAAGATTCAATATCAGGCATTTTGATGCAGAGTTCAACTTGAAATCAGATCCCCTGGTTAATAGATCTAGTCAGTTGGGTCAATTGGCTATTCATCTTTTGAGGACTGACATATACCTAAAGGTGCCTGCTAAGCATGCGAGCTGGCATCTTCCTTTTCTTTTTCTTTGCCTCTTCCTTTTTCTTCTACTGATATCAATGTTATGATAAAAATACCATTTGCAAATGTCAAAATTATCAAACAAGTCCGTAATCTGTCCTTAGGCTGGAGACACAATTGGGATATTGAAAAAAGGTACAGGCTCTCTCCACTTCTTGATCAATGGGCAAGACCAGGGTGAAGCAGCCAGCAATCTGCCTGCTATTGTTTATGGAGCTGTAGATATATATGGAGCTGCAGTGAAAGTTTCTATTGTGTCAGCTTGTCGTATAGAACAAGAGCAAGGCACCAGTCAGTTAATAAGTAAGTATACGGTATTCTACAAGTTATATATCTTATTAACCAAGTGCGAGGGCCATACTGGGAGAATATCGGCCTGAGGTCTTGACAGTATGGACCGAGCGCAGTGAGGTCCTTACAAAAAAGACCGAGGGCTGATATTCTTCCAGTACGGTCCCGAGCAAGCTTGGTTAATAAGAGATTTATTATACGACTGAAGTTCAAAAGGACACAAGTGCGGTATCATTCGGGGTTATTCGGGACCATTCGGGACAGTGCCCGGTCCAATACGGAGAGAATATTGACGGGCAATGGAGCATTTTGATTGGTTGATTTTAGTTATTGGCCCTCTGACTGCCCGAGTTGTGTAATAATATATTCATATCGATAACTTGTTCTGACTGCTCCTTATATTATCAATACCTCATCCAATTGACCAACTTACAAGAAGGCTGCCTCTTGATATTACAGTTGAACCTCAATTGTCCGGACATAGATTATCTGGACTTTTCAATTATCCCGACTTTTCCTCTTGTCCTGATTTTTTTTCATGAATATTAATGAGCTTTCAATTGATCTTTAAAACTTAGTGGTAAAAAATTCAGAGATTATGTTTAAAGTCAGGAAAAGTGTGTTTAAAACAGTGCATTACCTTTTCGGCTTTTAAAAGATCGAGTGCTTGGAGACAAAGAGCATTCTGATGAGTTCAGCTGAATTTTGATTGGTTCGATATTGTTTTGTTGCTATTGTCTCATTAACATTTAAATTTTCAATTATCCGGACTCTCAATTATCTGGACTATTTACCCAAGTCCCAACGAGTCTGGATAATGGAGATTCGACTGAACAATTAATTCTCTCAAAGATGTTACAAGGCAGTCAGTGTATTAAGTAGTTAGAATGGAGATTCACAATGCAGATTAGGGTTTCATAAAAGTGAAATTTTTGTTGACGCAGGTCCTTCAACAGCATCAGTTTGCTTTCACCCACATTGTGGATCACTGATAAAGCTCTCTAATAGTAACAGAACCGCAGAACGACAACGGCCCACAGAAGAGTTCAAGAATGCAGTAACTCTGACAAATGTACCCCTACGAAATGATGAAGTATTTGAAGTAAGTGCTGCACAAAATTTATTGCTAAAGGTGATTTGTGCAGTATTTTTATGTTACTATCCAACCACACCTGGTTAGCTCAATTGGTGAGAGTGCCGCATTGTGTTGTGCAGGAGGTCGAGGGTTCGAGCACTGGCCGGACCAATACTCATGGTCTTAAAATAACTGAGGAGAATTTGCTACCTTTCTATAACATCAAGAAATCGATAGATATTCTAGTCTTCTTGGATAAGGACAAATAAAACCATAGGTCCCATCTCCTGCAGGGTTAGGGGTAGGAG